GAAGTGCTAACAAATTCCAGCTACTAACGGCTGTAATAATACTCTATGTCCACGTGGTATTGAGATATTTTTAAACAGTTTGTTTACAATTTTATTATGCTCTAAACCTAAATTGTGAATGAGAATTGTTTTTTTTTTTAGCTTTTAAAGGACTTCAATTTGACTTCGACTTGCTGAAGTCTAACAAATCAATCATAGACTTTAGAGACATAGACTTAGGGAATCCTGGAGTTAAGGAAATCTATTAATTTGGATTTGTGATCATCCTATAACTACAGTCTTGCGTAGCTCCTCAAATGCTAGAAACTTTCCCATCAGCCCAATCTTATCTCCCCTATTTGAGTGAACTGCTGAGCACTCAAACTGCTAAGAATCCATCCTAAGAAAAATGAAAGTAAAAATATAAGTAATTTAATAACAACTATATCTACTGCCAAAATAGTAATTTAATCAATAACAGAATAAAAAGATTTAAATGATAATTCTAAGGAAATGCAAATAAAACTACTTTCGCTTAGTTTCAAATCATTTATTGTTTTTTTCTTTTCTTTTTTTTTCTGCGTGTTGCCATCATAGAAAATTATTGCTGTCAAGCAAATGCAACTGTTGGGGTCATATTTGGTTCCCTTTAAATTCGCTCTGTGGGTGTATTGATATATATGTATCTATGCCAAAGATTAGGCATAAAAGGTGCGGTGTGCCGCATGTGCAGATTTCACTCTTGGTCTTTTTTTCGTCGGTTTTTTGTTTTTTGTTTTTAGCATTTGGCATTTGACATTGCCCATCGTCATGGCAAGTGCATAATTTTTCAATCAATGCGAGCAGCTGTAAACAAACAGCAGACAGCTGAGAAAAAATCAAACCAACAAAAGCCCCACAAACAAGCTGCAAAAGCAACAGGCGGCCAACGTGGCCGGGCCGCAAAAATCGTGATGTGGCCAACATGGCAAAAAGAGCTGGCTGGTTGGCTAGCTGGCTGGTTGGCTAGCTGGCTAGCTGGCGGATGCTCTCAGGAAGCGAATGCGCTCGCTGGCAAGAAAATCAGCTCCATCAAAAGCATTTAAATGCAAATGCAAATGGCCATAAAGCGTGAGGGTGTTCAATGCGAGCTTTATGCAGCGATGTGGGCCAAAAAGCGAGCAAGCCGTTTGTCAATGCAGCCCATCCGGCCCAGCCAGCTCAGAGTGTCAAAAGAAGTGTGTGGGTGTAACTACACTGGGAGAAATATGTGCATATGATGTGTACAAATTTTACTAGAAGCAAAAGTCCAAAACTTTAAATCGAAACTCTTATTTCAAACTCCTATTTCTCGAACCCAGAAATTTGTAAATGTTAAACTTTTTTTTTAGTGTAAAACAGTTGCTTGATATTTTTGAAAACAATAACTCAACTAGTTCGATCCTGATATCATCTTAAATAATAATTCTATCAGTTGCAATTCGAATTTAAGTTTATAAATTCCAATCTAAAAAGTGATAAACTTATTTCACATTAAAATTGACAAGTGGAAAGACAACAAACTTTTTTTTAAGGCTTTGCAGCTGAGAATAATCAAACTCAAACTTCGAATATATTTTTTGTCTGTGATTTTTGCACCCTTTCCTACTTTCGATACTTATTGAATTTGGATTGTGTGAATTTAAACAGAATTCAAACGGAATTAAATTATCAGTTTCGATTCTGAATTTCAAACGGATACGTTTCTGTTCTGGTTCCGATTTGGTGCTCTAAATTTCAAACTTCAAGTATATGCAAATATATTCCAGCAAGATTCGTTTATTTTTTCTGTAAGTGTTGCAAGTTGAAAAGCTATTGTATTTAGAAAGTGGGATCCTTGGGCAGCAGTGGAGCTGTGAGACTACAGGCCAACAGGCCACAGGCTACAACGCTAATTAAAAGACATTGCTAAATGACAAAGACCTAATGGTCAGGTATTTGCATAGCTGTCAACGTTAATGCCCACACTTGGTCGGAGCGTCGTGCAGCCTGCATCTGCATCCTATACACGGTTGCCACAGCGGCGCTCACAAAACTAAGACACGACACTTGGTGGCTTCAACTGCAGACCAAGACCAAATACGCACATAGAGTTGACCATATAAATTGTCAACGTGATGTTGTTGATGGTTTTTTAATAGGGGCGTGTATTATTCAACAGCCAACGCACATTGCGCGTCTTGCCACCTCTTTCCATACTCCACCCGTCATCCCCCCCTCTCCACGACGATTCCCTATTCGAGTCACTACTCATCTTGGCTAGCTAGCAGATCTTCTGGCGTTGTGTCTTCATTCAGCGGCACGCGTCTTTCTTTCATGCTCTTGATTAATGGTTGGCTGCCGCCTTCTCTCAGTTTTCAAAAGGTGGCCTGCCTGTGCTTGCCACTCTGCATCTTTGATCAGGCGTTCTCGCAGTTTGCCATGTGCAAATGGCGTGCGTAGCTGAAGCGTTAAAGAGATCGTAAAACGCCTCGCTTAACTTTTTGCTATTCTTCATAATTTGATTAACACTTTTGCCTGCTGTCTCATCTTCAGAGCCGTATCACATACACAGCGAGATAATATGGTTAAGTCTTTGCGAAACTAGTTCTTTAATAGTTCAAGTACAATTTGCACTACAGTTTTTCTTGTATGAAGCAGAGATGTAAGTTTCTTCGTAGTATTTTACTTTATTTATTTTAAGTATAATTATTTACAATGACTTAAATGTTATTTAAACTAAGTTTTAAATTCTAGATCGAATTCAATGAATTTCTGGCCCAAATTAAGTTCATTCATATTAAACTTTGATCAAATTTATGATTGATATGCGTAAAATCATTTTGGTTCTTTAAAATTAAGTAAAGAACAAAAAATAACTCTGATAATTCTTAAGCCGAGTTTAAGTTCTGGCTTCTGTCAAGCATTCAAAATACAATTCGGTTAAGGTTTATTCAATTAAATTTTTAGCGATGCTTTCTTGATTTCAAAGTTGGATTTTTACTAAGAGAACTATTTGAAAATCGTACAAGTAAAAGTTAATGGTTTGTTCCATAATCTGACTAATGGACTTGGGAAACCCTTCCTTAGGATGGAACACAATTAGACATGGGGAGACTGTAACATTTAATAGACATAATGGACAAACACAAAAAAAAAAATACTTGAACGATTTCCTAGACCCTTAACCCTCAAGTTTCTCAAAATTTATTGATACCAATATAATTATTCAGACACCCTAATCCATTTAAGCAAGCCCCAACTCTAACCAACTTAACATAATCCAATCAATCAATCAACCAATCATTAATTATCATCCTTCAAAGCATAAGAATATCACTAAACAATGAACCTGCCACATAAGCGACTTACACTCTAAATGACAGCTAATCAAATTTGTATGCCATATTCGAGAAAATGTTTTAGTAAATTTAAGTTATGACTTCTTGTTAGTTTGTTGAAGTGTAATTGCTGTGCAGAATTGTGACTTAATGCTCACAAAGCCGTTAAATGATTATAATTTGTAGGGGTTTTAGCATTTCACTTAACCTTCAAACAACAAATGCGCTTGTCATCTATCATAGGCCTTGACAAACACTACTCGAGGCAATAGGGGCTTGGAGCTGTTTGGAGCTGTTTGGATGTGCTTGGATGTGCTTGGAGGTGATTGACTGGTGTGTTGTAGGGTCGCTACTGTCCACAGTGTGTCAATCCATCAGTAGAGATGGCTTTGGCTGTCTCTCGCAGCAACCAGCTACATGTGGCTACAAATTTATTAACCAGCAATTTGTCAGCCAGTTCGGCCCACAGAATCTTAATTAGCAAGAAGCACGTTTCAGAGCTAAGCGCTTCAAAGTACATCGAACGATTGCATAAGGTAGGAATGAACAAAAAACATACATCTATCATTAGGATTGCTCTGTTCTGTGCACATCCGTCAATGGCCAATGAGTGAAAGAATTATGTTGGGAAACTGTCTTAATAATTGAAATACCGTCTCTCTATATGTGATATATAGAAAAACTTTCTTGTTTACCGAGTCCATTCTTCGGCGTGCGCAAGATATTCATTATTTCTTCAATTTTTTAATGTCTCATAATACATAAATAAATAACGTTAAGCAAAATGTATAAATTGTAATTATCGCTGCTGCTGAGGAGATGTTTGCTGCTGCTGCTGGAGAAGCTGCGGCTGTTGTGACTCCAGTTGATAATCAACAATGCATACAAAGCAGATACTATTTCAGTTTGGTTAATTTTTTCATAAAATACTCACTCAGGTAATCTGTAATTTTTAATATATTTAATTCATTTCAAATATTTGCCACCCATTTATATAAGAAAAAATAAACAATTGATATTTATAGATGTATATAGAGTTTATTATTATGTGTAGAGTTTATTGCATTTACTTAATCAGTACAATTTGTTTAGAAAAATATATAAGTATAAATATTGTTCTCATTAAAATTTAAGATCCTTAAACTTTAGCCTTTATGCTGATTGTGTTTATTTTGCTGTTGTCTTTTTTTTATATCCCCTTACTAAGCACCTCTCCTAAAACTTAGCACCTCTCTGCGTTTCGGCAATAAATTAGCAATTAGCGTTTAGCAATAAATAAGTTAGTAATAAATAGTTAAGTTGAGTATAATAAATATAGATTGATTCGAGAAAAGAAAAATGTGAAACGCAGTCCGAGTGCAAAAGAATTTGACACAAACATTTTGATACAAAATTATTTGGTAAATCTGCAAAAGGGAATTGTTATTGTTTTTTATTTTGTGTGTTTTGGACTGCGTTCCATATTATAAAGCAGCTCGAAGCAACAATAAATAATACAAACTTCAATAAATAAAATATAGTAGATAAAAGTTATAAATGCACTTCACATTGCCTCAGCTATAGACTTAGATTTTAGATACTCCTTGGAGATTTATTTCACTACACACGACAAAAAATTAGCCTAATTTTTGCTAGAAATTGTTAGACAAAAAAAAAGAGAACTGTCTAAAAAAATTGGCTAAAAACTTTTGATTATTCTTTGCTTCAGTTTTGGCTATAAATGCAATGCGCAGTTTTAAAATGCTGGAAAATGTGTCGACGAATTTCCACAAGCATTTAAAAGCGCGCATTTAAATTGTTTATCAAATTTCAATTGCGTATACGATTAATGTTTAAGCTAAGCTAAAACTTATGCTAAATGTTTTTTCTTTTACGTAAAATTAAACTAAGAATTTTTCAAATGATTTTCATTGCATTCCGCTGCTTTTTGCTGCGCATACATACATATATAAATATATATATTTATATATGTGCTAATTCAAGTCTCATCGAATCTTTTGAAGCTTTCGAGGCATATTGCGTTTGTTCCCAGCTAAATTGTGAGAGCTATCCGATACCCTGTTTAGAACTGCTGACCATAGCGTCCATTAATGCCGCTGTCATAAAGTTTGCTCAGCGTATCCTTGGCGCTGCTAACATGCGACGCTCCCGACACCGATCCGGCCGGTGGTGGTGGGCCATAGAGAATTGTGGGTGCACCGTATGTAATAGTGGGCGTGGGATCCTGCTGGTAAAGATAGCGCTCCTTCTTGGTGCGTCGCTGCACAGTCTTCCAAATGCCAAAGATGCTGAGCTGGGCGAGCAGAAACAGGGAGCCGGCAAAAATCAAACCTGGAAAAAAATACAAAGAAATTTGGATGGTTATATTAATATGAAAATAAAAGTTTTAAACTAGAGATCAAACTAGGATTCAGAAGTCACTTTTGACAAAGTTAAAGCTCTGGTAAGTTTTGATCTATCCCCTTTTACTCCTATTATAAATCGTACATATTGTTAACTAAACCTGTATCTACTGTATTTGATGCTTACAGAAAAACGATAGAGAATACAGATGAGTATTGCGTTATCAAGAGGACGACTTGGAGATACCCTCTATTCATATATTTAGCTGTAGTACAGTACAGCAGTACACACATTGATATTCAGCGAACGTTTCATATTCGCATCTGGTTGGTAACAGATAAGAACTGGATTAACGGCATGCTTAAGAAAACAGGAAAACAAAAATCGTATTGAGAAATAATGAACCAGAAAGAGTGCAAGTAGCAAACAAGGAAGAGGCTTATCTATCAAAGAAAACAAAAGTGTACAGACACTTGACCCAGTTGGGAAACCGAAAAGTGCTGCCTGCTGCCTGCTGCCGAGGCTGCTGGGCAAAACGAAACCAACGACCGACCAAGTGACCAACTTTGACTGCGGCAAGTTGAAGATCAACAAAAACAATGAGAAATAAAGCAGCGACAATTTAGTGCATGAGTTGCATATTTTTCCCAATTCTTTTTTTAACTTTTTTTTTATTATTTTTACTTTTTTGTTTTGGTTGAGCTTCACTTTTCATGCAGCTCTCCTACACAAAATGCGGTTTCGGTTGGTGTTTTGGTATTGGTATTGGTTTTTTTTTTTTTTGGGTTCTCAAAAGTGCAACATGCCACATAAATAAGATCAGAGACCGGTGATGGTAGATTGGACCAAGAGGAAATTCGAAATGTCGATGCCGATGGAGGAATGGGTAGAAATCGAGGTGAAAGTGCCGCCAAACTGAAATGTGGCTTGCATGCGTTTTGTCGTCCAGTTCACGAAATTCTGAAGATGATGACGATGATGATGATGATGATGATGACATTGCTGATGACTATCACAGATTACGCGGGTACATATGCATGTTGTTTTTGTTGCAGTTGTATTTTTTGTTGTTGTACATCAAATGCCCATAAAAAGTAAGCGCCGACAACAAACACAAACAAAACCAACTAACTCAACATACAAGCCATGTTTGTTTGTTGTTATTGTTGTGGTTGTTGCTGTTACTGTTGCTGTTGTTGTCGCTGTTGCTGTTGCTGTTGTCGTGGTCGTCATCGTTGTCGTGGTCTGTTGGCAATGACTTTTAACGAGTTTCAATAACAAAGCGCACGCACTTGAAGCTTTTTATTTATGTGCTTGCTCTACCTTAATATCTGTTTGTCTATCCCTCTCTCTCTCTCTCACTCTCTCTTTCTCGCTCTCTTACTGTCGTGCGTACATAACAACAATAAAAGAAAAAAAGTATACATGAAATTATTACAATTACGATAAACGGTAAGTCAGAGAGTCGGTGAGTCGGTGAGTCCAGAGCTCTGGGGGCAAACTACAAAGAGCAATCAAATGGTAAACAATATATGAAAATAAATAGCCCAAAAAACATCGTCAGAACAATGAGCAACAAACAACAGCAGTTATTGTTGTTTAGTTTTTTTTTTTCATTTTTTTCTTTTTTTTTTGATTTTGTTTTGGAACTTTAACACTATGGGAACCAGTGCAACAAATCGGATGTGCAATGTGCAGCATGAAGATACACAGATAGATGAAAGCGAAGAAAAACTGATTGAAGAACCTGATGTTGCACATCTTACTTATTAGTTGTAGAAAGTGAGAAGGAAACGGCTAATCAGGAAAAGGGATATTAAATGAAAGTGTGGAAAGTTGAAGAAGTTTTTCTTAAAGCAAAAGTATTTAATGTGCATATTTAACTTCGTATGACCTATTTTATAAGTGTTACTAGCTGATATCTATAGAAGAGTATGGAGAAAAGGAAACCATTCAGTTGTCGAGTGATTCTAACAGCTAAAAGTGTGTAAAGTAAAGATTAAATCTACAGCAAACCTGTCCTAAAGAAGAACCATACAAAATGTTGTCGGATCAATTAAGGCAGATTATTATGAAAGAACAGAATTCAGCACATCATATATACACTATCTGGCTATCAAAACACGTAATTACATGAGCTGAAAATCATCTTCGCAAATTGTTGACCATTATTCGAGCACAACGCTAGAAATTAACCAAAATAAAGTTAATGATAATTGAGCTGTGATATAATCATAAACAACAAAATGTAGGCTACTGTAAATTGAACAGTTTAAAAAAATGATGACTTTGAAATATAATTATGTTAAGAGGCCGAGATAACAGTTAAAAACGTTTTAGAATTGAGCCATTGAAAAAGGCATAATTCAAATAAATTTGTATAAATTATGGTGTATATAGAGCTGGCCGCTAGATTGATTGCCACACGCATTCAATATTATGTATCCGCTCTCTCGCTCTCTCTTGCTCTCTCTCTCTCCCTCTCTCTCTCTCTCTCTCGTTCTCTCTCTCACTCTTGGTGCAATGTGTGTGGCAAATGGTCTTAAGCGGTGAAGAGAAAACCGTTGCTCTAATTGCGGCCAATGAGTTCGGACGCGCTTTGCCTTTGCGGCTACATCAGCGTAATTGCAACAGATGTGGCTGCTGGTGCTGCTGTTGCTGCTGTTGCTAATGTTGCTGCTGCTGCGGCAGCTGCTTTAGGTCCAGCTGGAAGCTGTAGCAGCAGCTGGACCTGCTGCCGTCTAACAAGCTGTAAATTTAACGCTTCAACGCTGCATTTGTTATTAATGCGCCATGTCCAAAGCAAGGCATGACAATTGCTCTACAAAAAGCTCCGCAATGACAACAGCAATGGACTGCGTACACTCAGAGAAACACGCGGTTTTAGCTACAAGTACACGCACGTTGATACTCCAATTGCTTGTCAAGTAATCCAGTTGTGAATTTTATATAGTTTTGACATTAGGATATGTCGACATAATAAAAGGAAACTTTTTGATGCATTGATTTTGTTTGACCTTGGCTCCAGCTTGAAATGAGTTTAAAATTCTCTAATTTTTTCAGAGTGTAGGCAGAGATGGAGGGGAACGCGGACAACTGGCTAAATAACTGTGCAAACTTTTTCACGCCGCACGAAAATGAGGCGTGCAGTAATTCAGGCAGGCAGCAAGAGGCAGGCAGCAAGAGGCAGGCAGCGAGAGGCAGGCAGCGAGAGGTATCTCATCTCATCACATCCTGGCCCAGCCAGCTGTGGCTACAGTCACATCACATTGAACCAGTGACCTGGTCGTGAGCCGGCGAACGTCAGCATTTGCATCGGCCTCATCTGCCTCATAACTTGTTGGCAGTTGGCAGTTGGAGCGGAACACGTTCTGGACATGAGGCAACAACACAGAAATAATCCAATTTATTTCACATGCAAGTCCTCAGCGCTGCAGTGGCAATGATGAAAAATTGATTCATTATCAAAATTAGCAAGCAGCCAACAATGGCAAAAACAAGCCTCTGGCTCACGACGCAGCAGGCAACTGTGTGTTGTGGCAGGCAGCATCCGAGGCAGGCAAAAATCTGCACATCTGGATGCAGTTGCAAACGCAGCTTCTCAATTCGCAAGCCACCCGCTGGTGCCAGCAGCACGACGTCCAATAACATACACTCAGAAAAACTATGCTTTTTGTTTATCAAAGAACGGAAACAAGAAATCTATTTGAAGAAAGTACAATCTTGCTTCTAAGCCGAACCTGGCGCTTTAACATTTGCTCGAACCGTTAACTCAGAGCTGAAACATTGCTTCGAGCCGCGAATGCACAGCCTGAACATTGGATCGAACCGTTATTCGAAACTCTCCCAAATACTTTTAAGAAACGTGCCACCTAAAAATATTTAAAATTTTTCTAGGATCGTCAAATACAAGAAATAAATTAGTTTCTTTGATTTTGAAACGATTTCCTTCTGAGCTGAAATTTGATTTTGATTTTACAAATTTGTAACGCACATTTTTCTCTAAGTGTACCACCACGCCTTGTCTATGGAAATCAACATAGAAGCTTAGGCTTACTGTGCTTGCTTTTGATTTGCTCTTGATTGGGAATTTTCACAGGATGGAAGAAAAAATAAAAACCATACGGGGGAAAAAAAGATAGATGAAAACCTACCATAGCCATTAAGACAAGTGAGCTTGTCCTGGGCGACGCCGGCAAAGGCCTTCTCATGGGGATCCATTGGATGCGGTGGCTGGCTGCCATCCTCGGCCTGGAAGCCGAACTTGTCGGTGATTTGTATGGACTGCACGAGCAGTATGTTATCATCAGCGGAAGCTGGTCCAATATCTCGACGCTGGCGTGTGCTGCTGACCATGAACTCGCCTATGTAAATTTAATAGCAATTAGCAAACATAATGAGTCGCAGTGGCGCCGTCGCTGCTCTACTTACCACCATCGGTGCCGTTAACAATGGAGCGCTTCCTGCGGCCATAGGAGACCAGAGACTTGAGTTCGCCGCTGGCGCCATCCTCGCTATCGCATATGACTGGCTCACAGCGTGGAATGCAGGGAGTGACCAGTGCTCGGAACTGAACCACCTCGCTGGATGGAAACTTGAATGCATCGAATTGTGAGAGCAACACCTTGCGATTATGTGACAGCTTCTGTATGGTGCCCATGATATATTGATCTGTGGGACAGCCATTAGCATCGATCAGCGTTATCTCGGCGCTGTCCGAACCATCCATGGCAACCAATTCGCGCACAAAGATCTCATATGGACTGTTCTGTTCAACGATCTCGAAACGGAGAGCCAACGGATCACCGACCTCGGCAATGCGCTTCATGTCGCTACCATCGCGTGAGGTGATCTTCATAATGACATTCGGTGAATCGATGGTAATCTCCTCGCTAAGCGACGATTCGATCTCGCCAGTGACACCCAAATCGACATCATTCAGAACCGTCTTGTTGGTCAAATCATACTGACAGCTGACAGCCAGTCCCAGATCCGAAGAGGTGACAATCATATCATGATGCTGGATGACAATATCATTCATATAGCGACCATAGGCACTCTGTCGAACATTGCACTCGAGATCATTGTAGCCCATGCGGAAATCAAACTCCAGCGAATTGTTGACATTAACGGCACAAGATTTGGGTGCTCCCTTTGCATACACTTTGCCATCGAAGAGTTTGGAGGTGCGTATCTTGGTGATCATCTCACCGGAACGACACTCGATCGATACATTATAACAGGCGGACAACTCGTAGGTGGCTGCCTCAGGCACATCGAGATAGGGATCCATTACATCCGTCAATGTGGCGCGACTGTGATGCGACAGGCGACAGACCATGTCGCCAGTGTCATTGTAGTCATACGAGTGGCATCTGTCAGAGTCAAAGAGACGCAGAGTGAGGCACATTGTGTGAAAAGTATTCAATCATTGTGGGTTAGTAAAATGCGGAAACTTCTTCCTAACACCCTTGCAAAGGGTATTCTAGTTTTGTTGTGAAGTTAGTAACATTGTGAATAAAAAATACTTCTTCGAGTACATAAATTGTATATATTCTAAATCAACATTTGATATTGATTGATTTAAATAAGTACTCTAGTCTGCAGGGTATTTAAACTTCGTCGATGTCTCAGCGAGATGTTCTAGCTTGCTTACCTGTAGGGCGAGTTCAGGCACAGATCGCGACATTCATCAATGGTGTTAATGTCCTGATAAACGGAATCCACTGTCTTCAGTATTTTACCAGAGATGCGCTTGAATTCGCACAGTTTGCTCGGCTCCTCAGCGCAATTATTCTCGAGATAGTCGGCGCCCTCATAGGCCTCCACACTGCCGGCAGCCGAGAGGGTTATGCGATCCATATCAGACAGCTCACACAGACCAGAGTGGCGATAGAAGTTGGCCGAGCTGCGCAAGTCGAGAGTTATCAGCGGCAGAGAGTTGTACACATTCAGTTAGGAAGTAGAATTTGAAGTTTGAAGTTGTAATTTTGTTAGATTGAGGGGAGACAAAGATAGAACGACAGTTGTAGATATTAAAGATGCATATAGAAATATATAAGACTATATATTTGTGTTGAGTTCAGTGTGTAGGATAAGGGTAGTTGGCATAGAAGTTAGCTGCTCAAAAAAGTTTGAAGTTTCATCTCTAAGCTAATCTAATCGACATTAGTTACTTAAGATATATTTTAATATATGAATATGAATGATTTTTGGTGTAGGATGTATTGAATTTTCTGCTAAATGCTATTTGTTATATCAATTTACTAGATATCTAACTCTGCTATGCTTCCTATATTCCTTGGCTTTGATATAGATATTTTATTGAATTGTTTAGAAAACTAGCTTAGTCTAATTTTTAGATATTTTATTGATCTGATCAGTTTCTTTGTTTAGTCTAACTTAAGGATATTTTTTGATCTAGCTTTTATTTAATATTTGCAGTCTAGTTCTATTATCCAAATGTAAGGTTTACGTTGTTGGATTCTGAAAGCTGTTATGCTGAGAACTTTCCACTCTCAAGAACTTTCCACTTTGCACAATCTTTCCAACATCGAAAGAACCGACCGATTTACTGGCTTTCGTTTCAGGCCACTTTTTAGTAGGCGATCTCAGCTTAGTTGCTTTTTTCTTTTTACACCTACAGGTTTTTCCGACTTTTCTCTCGCTATAGTCTCTGCAGCTAATAATCTAGTTGTTGGCTTATGATATTATGTGTGCAGCTGTCTGAAGCTGTCGTCTTTAATCTCTACTCGTAATCTCAACCTGTGCGACAGCTACTTGCTCTTGTATTCCGTGCTTGTTATCACCAGTCGAATCAGCGTTTGTCATTAAGTTTTACAGTTCATCACACTTATCGAGTGTGAACCAGTTTCAAAGTTGCAGTTTAGCATACTATTAATAACATGATAGGATATATTATGTTACCATAACTGGATCAACTTGTTAACATGTTGTGCAATCGAATGCATCTTCAGGTGTTAACTTACCGGCACGTAAACTCCGTTTCACCCAGGCACAGTTCCAGGCAGTCGCGACGCGAAAGAACCGTCTGACTAGATTTGACATGCTCGGGCAGGCGGTAACCTTGAACGCGATCTACGCACCAGGCCTTGGAGCAAGGACGGACGCCCAAACACGATTTCTGTGCGTAGATCGTGAAAACCGGAAATTGTGAGCGCGAAAGTGAACCTGCAGAGCCAAATAAAATATATTGAAATCGAAATACACATTAAACGGTGTTAGTAGTAAAATTGTGCGCTGCAAGTGGTGCTGGTTCAAGTGGTGCGTGTGGTGCGTTTTACGCACACGCCCCTTCACTGTAAAGTAACAGGCGTTGAGAAAAACGCAGCAGCAGCAGCCGCAACGCAACGCAAAATTGCAACGACAACAACGACAACTGCAACTGCAACAGGCAACGACAGCAACAGCAACAACGGCGACAAGGCTGGCTTGGAAATTATGCGTTAGCTTTGCCAAAAGCCAGTTTGCAGAATAGGCAAAATCTAGTTTGCCTGGGCCCAAAGCCAACTTGGAGCCGTCTTTGCCTCAGTCTGCCCGACTGACTTGCCTGCCTGCCTGCCTGCCAAATCATGCGTAAAAGCAAAAGGCGTGTTGCTATTTTTTTTGTTGTTGTTTATTCTTTTTTTTCTTTTGCCACTGCTTGTGATTTATGCGCCTGGGTCTTGTGGCCACCATGAACTAGAACTCAGTAATTGAATGAATGAGCCGACCAGGTAAAATTATTGAACTTTCTTTGGCACACAAAACAGGCAGCTGCATAAAACGACAGCAGCATCAGCAGCATCAGCAGCAGCAACTGTTGAAATTCTCACACTTTCTAACTCACCTGGCAATTTATCGGCGGTCGTCTTGAACAGCACACACAAGCCGGTTTCATAGTTGACAGAGCTACAGGATTCGTTGCTCTGACAGGCCTCCAAGCAGTCCGTAAGCATCAGAGTACCCGGCAATGTATCCAACATTTTTGAGGGCGCCGACAGCACGTAGCTGTAAAAATAAACCAAAAAAAACGATTAACAAGATTCGACAATGTTTGACACAGGAAGCGCAGGAAACTAAGGAAATTGTTGATTAAGCCTGACCATGTCATTTAAAACGGGATGAATGCTTGAAATTAATGTTGCACCGAAGTCCATAAAAATGTTTTCTATTTAATAGCATCTTAAGCTTTGAACTAGTTTTTTTTTTAAACTTGGTTTAGGTTCAACACAAATCGATTAGTTATGCGTCCAATATTTGTTTCAGCTCCAATAAACATCTTAATATGTAGTTAAAAGTCCATTTATTTTAATGTTCATATTGTAAACATTCATTTGAATTGATTACCTTATATATTTAGCTTATCCGAATTGATTAGTCAGCAAGCCAACGAGGCGAGACGAATAAGGAAAATGAAAGTGACCCTTAATCGCATTAACCAAATATAACGTCATGGTGGCTCCCCACACACATACACAGACACACACCCAGACTCACAGACCAACAGATAACTGGCTTATGAGTAAGCGGCGAAAAAAAAAACAAAAGACTCAGGCAACAAACTTGCTGTCGGCATGCCGCCGGCGCAATGAAAGAAAGCTCATAAGCAGCTGCTGTCGGCGCACAAGCTCGCGAGCTGCCTGACATCAAAACAAACTATGCGATTAGACAAGCCTCGTTTCGCCCACATGGCACGCCCACTTACCACCACTGCCCCCGCCAACGCCCAAATTCAGCACATTTGCGTGTTGGCGGATAACCGTTAAGACTCGATTCTATGCAAATTGGCTAATTGGCAAAAATGCCAGACTTGACTACAGTTTATTACGGTTCAATTTCGTTTGATTAATTTGGACTCGAATTAAATGCGTACACTCAAAACAAATCTTGAGACTTTTGCAATCGAAGAATTTACAAATGTGTTCAAGGTTGAAAAATGTAGACTAGATTTTACATTTAAGAACAAGTTTATTGTGATGAAATATATTCTGAAGTATTCGACTCTTTCAGTACGAGTATCCATAACATTGGTTTTTTTCTGAGTGTACTTTGTGAAAGTGTAACAGATGTAAGTGTCTCAATTGCATATGCCTCAAAGTAAGGGTCTGTGTTTATTTACTTAGTGAATTTTATGACACTTACCCCGTAATTATCTCAAAGCCAATCATATCTGGATCGCACTCCTCCTCTGTCTCGGTGGCCTTGTCCGTCTTGGGCTCCGGCTGTGCATCGTTTTGTGGCAACAGCGGCTTGGGCAGCTCAGCGTTGCTAATCGCGCTGTTTGCGCCACCGCTGCTGCTGCTGCTGCCCGTGGTCAGTTGTGGTACAAGTTCAACGCTCTGCTCGCTGGTGCTGGTTGTCGTTGAGCTGCTGCTGCTGCTTGTTGTTGTTGGTGCTGCTGTTGCTGCAGCTATTGCGGCTGCTGGCGCTGGCGTTATGTTGGTACGTGGCAGTGTTTGCTTCGCGGGCTTTACAGGACGCTTCGTTTTGCGAGCGGCGTTGGCGTCACTCGCAATTAGGCAGAGTAACAGCAGAAAAGTGCAGCGGCGTAGAAACATTATGCCTGCAAATAGTGGAAGCAGAGGAAAAGAATTGGCATCGACTTTTGGCTGGGTTTGAGCTTTAGCAAAATGCTAATGAGTCTAACTAAATTCATGTTACGCGTAATTTAAGTAATTCCTGTTGTGCACTTTATTAGTTGCATATTTAGTCAGCTATGCCATGAAAACGGCACTTTTATTCTCTTGTTCTGTCTCTGTTTGTTCATGTTGTCGTTGTTGTCGTTGTTGTGGTTGTTGTTGCACATGTTTTTTGTGTTGTGTGCATTAATTGCTTGGCTTGTAAGGTCTATCAGAGTTTAATTAAAGCAACAGCTGGCTAGCTATGTTTGCCGTGCTTGTTATTGCAGCAACCACATCAGCAACAACAATAAAAAGAAAGGTTTAAGGCCGCCGCCGCCAACAAGTTGAAATGTGTGAAATGTGTTGACGCCTGGGAAAGGTAAAACTCGACTGCTTCTTTTTCTGGCCTGCAATGAGCATAATGAAAAATGCCGACAGCCAGATACAGGCTTGTAGGCGTTTTTGAAATGAATATCACGCTGAGAGACAACAGTTTCACCAGCACTCTAAATTCAAATCATTCTTTACGATAGCACGTAAAACGCATTTAGCTGTAACACAGAAGTGCTTTGCCAAACGCTCAACAAATGGTTGCATTTTATTGAAGTTTTACGTCCCAGTTGCATTTATTAAACTGTCAGAATCAAAAACTAGCTTTTTGCTTACGATTTACTCCGTATTTTTTTTATTGGTTTGTTGTAAAAATAAAAACATATATTTAATTATTTGTTGCACGCAAAGACTGCAATTAATTGGGTTGAGATTTTGTTGAAGAAAAGCAAACGACTTTTCAAAAATTTTCCTCCCAGCGTCAAATTCTTGAGTTGTAAGTCCTGGCAACTTTCCCATTGTAATGAATTATGCAATGCGGGCAGATAACAAGTGTTTTTTTTATAGCTATCATCAATCTAATGAATCTTAACGAATTGAAAGTGAAAAGTAAGCGTTTGCTCTGATTGCTTGCCACATTAAACTGTAACATGCAGGCAAACATATGTAAAAAAAAATGATTGTAAAATGTTTGAAAAGTGTTCATCTTTATGGCCAACATCTTAACGGCCGAATCTGTGTGTGCGAGTATAAAATAAAAAAAAACCGCACACAAGTTTGCAAGGCGTTTCCAGCGGCATTCAGCCGCAATAGCTGAGAGATAATCTCTGCTCATTATTTGCAAACAGGCGAGCGAGCAGCGTTTGCCTCGTGTTTTTTTTTATTATTATTATTTAATAAGGGGGCGGCGTGAGAAAGATTTGGGCAGGAATTCTCTGCCAGATTATGAGTGCGGCTGTATTACATAATTAATTATGGGGGGTACACAGTTTTTGCGCCACCTGGCTGCCGGCTGCTGGCTGCTGGGCATGCAAAATACAACAAGTGCACCGCCTGCCGTGTGCTCACACATAAATTATAGGGAAAAAACAAGCGAGTGAGTACCGTTAAGCTAATAACATGCCTGAAGATCCGAACTGAAACATAAAATGCAAAACAAAAAAAAAACAAACAAAAAAAAAACACGAAAATATGAGAAAAGCTACGAAAAAAAATAGATAGGGAGAAAAGTGAGGGCTCAGCTGGCACCCGGTTCATTACGGGAACACTCACTTCCACTTGCAATTAGTTCTATGAATGAATTTATGCTAATTATAGACCGCCAACCAGTCAAACGGCGGTCCATCGACCGACACGCTTTTAATAACCCCACTGGCTGTATAGGCACATATACATACATTTATATATATACTACACTTATTTTTCGGGCAACGAAAAGTTTTTCATTGTTGTTGCGCGCGGCCTTAAGATCACCTGCTAACCCACAAATATAATGAGCCATTGACCGAACCAAAAGAAGAAGAAGAAAAAAAACGGAAAAAAGAGAAAAACTAAAAAAAAAAATACTAATAATAATAATAAAAGTATGAAACGAACGGTACACACGCATATGCTGCATGTGTGTGGCATGTGGTTAGAATCGAATCTTGCGGTCGAGTCTAGAATTTCCATGCCACTGAGCTTATCAAAGTCCCGCACCCAGAAGTTAAAGAAAACATTTTAATTAGCATTCAAAGTAATTTTGGGGTTTAGCTACTTTGTTGGATTCTGGACTTTGAGTTTTTTATTCTTTATTTTTTGTATCTTTTCGGTTTTCGTTGATGTTTTCCATAGATATGTCTATCAATTTCACTAATTGAACGTTAACAAGACGGTCGCCTTGGGAGCCGATAGTTGCGATGGATTCTCTCAACGTCGCATCTATCAATCATGCTTGTAAACTGGTCTTTGCTTTTTGTTTTTGTCTTTTTCTTTTTTTATTTGGGGGTGGGGACCACAATTCTGTGAATGCCGAATACTCCCCTTTAGTGCCCCCCGAGCTAAGAGAGATTCTGGTTCTGCACATTTCAACTGGATCGAACTAAGCTAATCCCATAAGATAATCATAAGTGAAGGGCTGCTTGATTCTGTTGCCATTACATTGGACCTAATGAGTTTTTCTTTTTTTCCGCCTCAATCAATGATCATTTGATTCGCACAAACAAAAGACTCAGGCAGCGAACTTAATATTTGATTGATATTTTAGCTAGGCCAGTGCAATTGTACTACTGTGAATGGGATAGATGGACTTTTGGCGCAACCATTAGCCCAATTTTATTTTTTTTTGCCAACTCCAGGCACGAAACCTATTTTAAATTGAGATGGAGAATTGGACGCAAAGCCAGTTGGCTTATCAAATTCAATTGGCTGCTGACCATTAAAACAAATGACTTGGGCAACAAACTTTCGCGGGTTCATGTCGACCTAATCAAGAAAGCGCTTTAATTGCAAAACGCACATACACACAAACACTCAACCACACACACACACACTAATTGTTTTTGCATGTCAAACTGTCGAAGCTGAGGCGATTGTGTTTGTTATCATGAATGCAGAATCCGAAACATGTTCAAGTTCTTTAGCCATATTTGCGAGAGTTTTTCTGTTGCCTTGTGAATGACATTATCTGCAAGCTTAAACAGTGCCATTTGCATTGCTAAATGGATGGACCCGTTCTGCATCTTTCACTCTCTGCCCGCATAGTAATCTCGCGTCACATTGTTCAAATTCTTTTGCATGTCAAACTGGCTACCGTTAACTTAAAGCTGGTTGCAGTTGTTGGCCTATGTATTTATGCGCGCTGCATATATTGTTAGTTATGCAACAAGCAGCAAGCAGCAAGCAACAACAGCAACAGCTAACAGCTGGAGTCCACTTATGCAGCATGACAACTGCAACATTGTCGACGACAACAACAACAACAACAACAGATACAACAGCCAAGATGGAGGACAATCATTGGCGGGCATCAATGGCAGGCCTACATTTCAATGTCAGCCAAGTGCCCAGCGCTACCAATCAAGTTGTTAACCATGCTAAGCAATAAATTGCAACAGCAACAGCAACAACAACAGCAAGAGCAACTGCAACAGCAACAATTGTTATGAACTTAACTTTAAATAACAATCAGCCAAGTGCCGTTAAATGAATGCGACAATTGTGTAGCCAACCGAAGCTGAAGCCAAAGCAAACTCGACCTCAAACTTAAACTCAGCCCAGCATATTAATTTACCAGACTCTGAAATATTTGCATAATAAACGCCAACGCCTTGGCCATGGTCATGATCGTGGTGCTCAAGCTCAAGTCGCCGGCTAAAGCGCATTCTCATTGCCCGGCAATAAGTTTTGGCGTCAAGTGAATTGGTAACACGGCCCGTTGAGCATTTTCGCGTACACCTCGTACATTTCCGAATAAACTAATGGCCGAGCCAACAGTGTTAATTTATCACTGGCCGGCAGCCGGACATGAACGTGAACTGTGTGCACTGTGCTCCACACTTTTCAACGGTACTTGCCAACAACAATAACAAGAACAACAACAATGCAACCGCAACTGAACTGCACTCTATTTGCTGCCGGCTAAAGTCACCCCTTCACCCACAACCCCCTCCCATCTATTTCATTCACAATCAAATTGATATTTGCTGCTATATTTAGTTTATGATAATGCCGCCGACTTGAATGCCGCTTGACTTCGTACTCTGCTCGACTCTAGGCTCTGCTAATATGCTGCTTCCTTCTTGCTTGCTGCAGATTTGAATTGTGCATTTTTCACCGCTTCGTATTTATTATCCATGAAACCTTCTCCCGGTTCCTTGCCTTAATATCTCACATTGCGCTGCATTTTTATTCTGCCGTTAGTTTTCTTTATAGCTATACTTTACTTGGCTGATTTTTATGGCGCAAAAGTCATTTAACATTTGGCATTCATTTAATGTAAATTTAAACAATTTTAACCACTTGCGGGCATTGCGTCCAAATCAATTGAATATGCATATATATTAATACTTTTAACTGCTTGTCTACAATTTTATTATATAAAGTTCAACAAAATTGGGTAGCATTTTGTTTATATTTTTTGATCATTTAATTAGCGTTTCAATTAATTTGGTGTGTTCGTCAAGGCAAACAGAGAGAGAATAGGAGATAGAAGGGCTGAGATTATGACTTTGATAGGATACTTCATATCATGTGCAAACAAACAAAATTGGTTTATCAACATTCCATCTTTATTAATGTAAAATGTGTTCCTAATGATTCCCTCTTAATTTTACAGAGCCAACTGACAAGATTAATTATTATGTCATATTTTCATGATATCTAATAAACGTCTGCACAAGCAGGGGAATAAGCATAAAAGAGGAATACCATAAGAAAATTAGTTATTCCAACATCTAATTTTTTTTCCTTGAAAGAAAACGCTGAATATACATAGGCAATTGACAAGTTTAATAATTATTATGCTTGCCATTTATAATAACTTATGATCATTTATCCAATGACACACAAATGCTGAGTAGCTGGTGGCTGCCGGCTCGAGTCGCATGCCCATAAACATGTCACTTTGAAAACCATAAAAAGACACAACGCTACAACTTAATCTTCATCAGTTTGCCATAGACGCAGAGGCAGATGCAGACGAAGTTGAAGACAAAGACACGTCCATACGCAGGCAATTAACACTTGACATTCTTTTCACTTTTCTGTCAGATAATGTTGTTGGCTGTTGGTGTTTGTGTGATATGCTTTAGGCAACATAAAATCCAGCACTAATCGCGCCATAAAAACACATTTTATTTGAGGTACGTGACAAAGAACTTTATGACAAATGTGTTCATTTTCTTTGGTTTAGGGCTCTGCGGCATTCTTTCTTCAGCGTGTGCCAAGTGCCGCAAGCACAATTTTCGCTTTCTTTGAGCTTTTCGGCCCTGTGGCATGGGGTCGCGCGGTTGCCTCTTAAGAAAGTTGCAGCCTAGTTCTTTGTGTGTGTGCCTCACAAATTCTGTAGGAAAAGAAATGAGTTGACACTTTCATTGGATTGTCTCTCTGTCTGTCTGTCTGTCGATTGGCATCAAATTCTACTTAAGTGCTAATGCGAGCCAATAACAAAACGTTTAAAAAATCTAGAAAACTAGCTCAATTCCATATGCATTATGCATATTTAGAAAGCTTGCAAATTAAATGAACGAGAATTAACTGTTGGCAAAATAGTATATTTATACACACACACACACACATATATATACACAGTTGTCTTAACGGTATGCCATTTATAATCATTGTCGTGGCGAGCGTAGCACGTGTCGTATAATTGGTTTATCGCGGCTATAAAATTCTTGGCCTAAAAGTAAAAATGCAGACGGCTGAAAAAAAGCTGACAGCCACACATAAATCCACAAAAATCTAAAGCCCAAAAAGAAAGAGAAAAACGTTAGGAAAATATAAAAAAAGGAAACGGTTCGGCCAGTAAATTGAAAAGCGCACGCCAAAGCCGCATCATCATCAGTTGCAACAACTGGCTCCGGTTTCTGGAAATGATGCTGTGTTAAAATCAGGTCGGAGCGGCAAAGTTGCAGTCATAAATGTTTTTACCAGAATGACGACGAAACGGGTGGCAACTCCCACAGTTGAAAGATTTATGTCTAACTGTAGCATGTGCATAGCCAACACACTCAGCGAAAACATTGAGATACTTATACCGGAAAATGGCTTAAGGCTTAAGGAGTTGAACTGTTTCACGATAAGTACAACAGAAATCATTTTAAGAGTTTTGCATTCTTCAAACATGTGCTGATATTTTGTAAATAAAAAACTACCTAAGTAAGAGATTGGGTTTCACTGAAAGTACTAACGTTTTTTTATCAGTACATATGTTATTTTAAATTCTTGAATTGAAGTACTCCAGTTCATTTATGATAGGTGTATATCGTTTTAAAAAGAAAACTAAATCAGCTTGAGCTAAAATTAAGCTTCTTAAATTGAAAAGCATTTCTTTTTATTTTTATTAAAGTTTCATTTAAGAATACTTCTTATTCACAGCTAAAAATGTTGAAAAGTAGACACTTGTTTTAAGTACACAAGTTTTTGTATTAAGTTCTTCTTTTATTTGTAGTTACTTATGCTCATTTCAGTATAATTCCTAAACAAATTCCAGCTGACATATTCAACAGGTATTCTGACTAGCTTGCTGGTGGATTTTTCTCTGAGTGTACAAGTGTGTGTGTGTGTGCGAGTGTGCGTTGCAAACGCAAAGAGCATTTTGAAGCACAGTTCTTTTGGGGGCGGCCCACCTGCTGCGGCTTCTACTGCTGCTGCTGCTGACCTCGTTTCCTCAAATTGTTATAAATTGCGTGAAAATGCATTACGCAAGTACAAAAGGCTGTGAATTGTGTTAAGAGCCGCCTCAGCATCGGCATCAGCCCCACCACCCCACCCTCTCCCACATTCAACAAGAAGAACAACAATGCGGCCTGGCTGACTGCTCCACATATTGTTGGCTAATTTATGCAAGGCCAATGCTTCGGTGCAGGTTGCGGCTGCAATTGTTGCTACTGTTGCAGCGGTGCACGTAACTGTCAACATGGCGCAAACTAACTGTAAATTGTTGGCTCTATGTACCACCCACCCAACGACAGCGCAGCTAATTGCCTAACGCTTGGCATTTAAGCAAATTTCGTGCGCAATATTCATGGGTAATGGAGTTGAGCTGCATACCGAGCTGACTAATAAATTTGTTAGCACAAATGACGGCCTGCCTACTTTCCTGGCCCCTAACTTTTAGAATGTGCCATTAACCCATTTACAACTGACATAGCCTAGCAGATGCACTCAGCATCTTTGCGAACAGAACAAAAATAAACAAACGGGCGACAAAACTTTCAAACTGCATACAAGTTGTCTTCTACTTTCTGGCCTTAACCGCTGGACACACAACAAAAAAAAATTGTTAAAAGCGATTGACAAAAGTCCAGTGAGGCAAGGCCATAATTCAATTGTCGACAACTATCAGTGCTTGTCGCTTCAAAACAAAATTGCTTTCAAGCTTGCATTAACAGTAAACTATGTGTTAAGAGACAATCGATTTGCATACAAATAACGTAAAAAATTGTTTAGTTATTGAGTTGAAATTTGATGTGCGTCTGGCTAAGCAAACTAGTTAAAAACTCTGAAAATTTCATGACAATCAAAGAATGGTGAATGGTATATATATAGGATCAAAATATGATAAATAGGAAACGAATTTAGCAGAAACTAGAAATGTTAATCAGACTTTCAAAATATATTTTCTTATTTCATAATATCTGCAATATATATAAAGATATTTTCTTGAAACAGACTATAATTGTAACTAAAAATTTTACAATTTTCATTGTGATAGCATGATATATGCAACATTCATCTAAGCAATAACAAGACAGTTATATATATGTGTGCACCTGCTGCTGGCCGTAAATATTTATCTTGGCGCTTATTTCCATATGTTTACAAACTGTAAACAGATGGAAGAATGTGTGTAAATACTTGCTTTGTGAACAGCTGGCATATCAAGCAGTGAAGTAATCTTGACTAAAGCACACTCACTTCACTCTTGGCCTGCTCTTCAGCTATAAGACTCTGGATAAGTGCGAACATTTTTCCACAACGTGCTTCAAATGTGCCTTTAAGAGCAAGTGTCTGAACTTGGTATCAATTAAAATAAAAACTTTTGTCCATTGACAAAATATTTTCTATTTGCTGTTTGCGCTTTTGTGGCATGTGATGGGTTAAGCGGTCATTCGGCAGGCTCAAACAAGAAGAGCAACAAGTTTTTTATTATTTTTTTTTTAAATTCTCTTTTTTTTCAGCTGTCTTGTCCACTTGGCTGCACAAACATGAAGATTGGTCTCGCCGCGAACAGGTAAAACGGCAAAGACAAAACAACAACAACAACAACAACGCAGCCACAAGAGCAACACAGCAATGCAGTGCAATAACAACAAAAGCAATTGCATTTGTTTGTTAGCCAGTTGCATTGACTGATTGATAGACTGAGTGCTGAGTGTTCGCTGCTATTCTCTCTTGGTTTTAGCCTTATGATTTTGCCTGTGCCGACGCCGTTGCGCTAATTTGTTGGCATTGGCAACGCCGTGCAGGAAACGGCAGACAAAAGACGCCGACGTGAATGCCAGATTCCATGCAATCTCTGTTGATTTATTAGGCATCATTATATACATGCAACACAAATACACACACAACAAACGTTCCTGGGCAATCAAAATCAATATCTCAGACGCAGCTTCGCGCATGCCGTTTTTTCATTTTTCATTTTTTTCGCACTTCCGGCTCAGGTGTTTGCGGAGCAGGCTAGATGAAAAGTAGCAAAGAAAAAAGAATAAGAGAAGCAATTTGGTCAACTGGAACAACGGCAACACTTTGGCCAAAAATGGTCAGTAGCCCATTATATAATTTGCAGCTAACTTGGCCGAGATTTATGGCCAGCTGGCAGGCCAGTCTGGAAGTCAGCAACAGTTGCCCATTCTTGGATGCGTCTTTTAAAACGCAATAAATATTAGAGTCACTACTCTGCGTGCTGTTTATTGTTGGCATACGAGAAGCAACACCACCAAGTACCATCAGGCACCACCGAGCACCACCATTGAAGGCCGCACACAAGTGGGACACAAGCCAACGGCTTTGCAGGCGCATGCAATCTTGACTAAGAGGCTACTGCTTCAGATTGTTTTCCCATTTCTGTTGATATGCATTGCACAATTACGCTTTACCTTATATATACACATCCATAATATACATATTGTTCATCTACATATATATATAAATATATACATATATGTATAAATTGCACGCTAATTTATTCGGTGTTTGTCTGCGAAGTGTGTGAAAAGAGCAAGCCAAAAGCAGGACTTGATCCAGTTGAGTGTAATGGACTGCCAACTACACTGTGAAATACTCTATGAAATTTAACAAACTTCTGGGAGTTCAACTATAAAAACTATTATTTAAATTATTTATTGTTATGCAAATTTTGAAGATATAATGTTTAAATTGATAACAAAAAAGGAAAGTATTGTAAAACATATTTTTAACCAGTATAAATAGTTTTTTTTATTATACTTTCTTTTCAAAATCGAAAATTTGTCCATATTTTCGTGACCTTATTAAACCAACTAATTTTTTTTTTAGTCATTTTATAGCTTTGTTTATTTATTGAGTATAATAAAGAGAAGAAATGACTTTGGTGTGTAACGGCGGATGCTGTACCCAGTTCTAGTTTATAGCTCGGGCATCTGTTTTGTATCTGTGAGCGGCCCACGCCAAATTACTTGCTGTTTAGCTAAACACTGTGCTCAGCGTCCAGTTAGCACGCCTTGGCTTGCTCTGCACAACCTGGCTAAAATAAAAATGGTAAAACTGGGTCGATGATATGCAGCCGGGCTTCAAAGCCGGCTTGGAATGTTGCACTGTGAAGCAGAAGCAGAAGCAGAAGTCGAAAACCGAAGCCGAAGCAGCAGCAGCCGGCGCACATTTCCTGTGTCTGAATAAAGAAGTTTGCCAAAACGGATTTCACTTTGTTTGCATTTAATAAACATTATCGATGGCCCATAGATTGGCCAGGAAAAACGTTGCAAACCTGAGCTTGAATTACCACCGGTCGTCTTCGATCTTCGCAGATCTCAATTTGCATTTCGGATTAGCTGGTGTGCCTAGGCTTGTGTTTATAGTTTGGCTAGATTTTCTATGTGTCAGCACGCCTATGTTTATAAACTTCAGCTCGGAAAATTGTTCAGTACTTATAGGAAAACATTAAAAATGACTACTCCAGAGTTGATCATAAAAATCTATAATGAATAATCTTGTCGGGTTTTAGTTAAGTTGGTAGCAGTAGCCGTTAAATGAAATGCGCTTATGGCTATAAGCCAATTGTCGTTGGGTTCGCCTCAGCAAAGTGTTTAATGTTGAGAATTGCGTTTCAGTTAACAGTTAAGCGTTAAATTTATGGACATACATCAAATAAATTCACTTAACTGAAATCTCTTTCAACATAATATAGTATAGCAAATTTTGCCACAGCGATTTGCAAGCCAATCTTCTTTAGAATTTCATACTTGAAGTCAGCTGTTATCGATTATAAAATCGCTTATCGTCTTGCTAGTTGTGTCTAAGCTGGCAGCTCGATGCTTTATGGCATCACATGATTATAAAATAGTACTTTGAACTTAACGTAACCTTTTATTGTTATCTTTGCTTTCCTTTGCTTACCTGAATGCAATTGTTGTCGTTGGCCAAATAAACGTTTTCCTCAAATCTCTATGCTTCCCCACCACGAACTCGTCTGACAAAGAATTCGTTTATATATGATGTGTGTGTCTGTGTCTGTGTGTGTGTTGTGTGTTTGATCTGTAAGGAAAACAAATAAAAATTGTATAAATATTAGCTTCAAGCCAGAGCTATACATATGTACGTACTGAGCCAGAAACCCACTTAAAAGGTTTTCAGCTGCACGAAATACAGAAATAAATAGGGAAATATCTACAGAGAGGGGGGAGGGGGTGTCAGGTCTGCTGCTGATGCTGGTGATGCTGCTGCTGATGCTGCTGAAGATGCTGTTATCAGTGGTCTGACTGACGATAGGCATCTCTGTGGTGCAGCAATTGAGTTTAGTGTGACAACGTTTAACGTGAAAACGAGAACAAAATAAATAATTTTACCACAAAGTCACAGATAGAAAGAGCAGAGCAACAGAGCAACAGAGCAACGAACAAAAAACAGTTCAAACAATGAGATGCAGCGATAATTTCATTATAAGAGAGAAAACTTAAGGCAATTGCAATGCTGGAAAATATCCGTCATGACGACAACAGAGACGAAGACAAAGATGAAGACGAAGACGAAGACGACGACGTTCTTTCTTTCTTTTGGAGCGCTTATCTCGACTTCGAATCATCAGCAGGTGACATTGAAGTAATTTACTTGCTGCTGTTGTTGTTTGGATGCTGTTGCTGTTGCTATTGCTGTTGCGGTTGCACATCTCTCTCGTCTGGTCGCTACCCACACAATTTATTTGCAACTATTTAAACGAAGCAACAGCAGCTGAAAACCCGCTTTTTTTTCTAAAGATTCGTGCCGGACAAAAAAGGCCCGACGCTGGCGTATTATTAGCTCCCTGTGGCAGAGATCGTCTCAGAGCCAAGTCAGACACAATGTCAGTCAGAGCCAGAGCACTTCTTTTGCTTTATTATTGGCTGTACAATGTCGCTGCAATGTTGCTGCTGCTGTTGCTTTTGTTGCAGTTGTAGCTGCCGCTGTTGCATTTCGCATTCCATGCTAGCGAAAGTTGACCTAGTCGACGGTGTCGCTAGGCCTTCGGTTTGGGGTATAACTCAGCTCAGCAAATTTGCTTATAAATAACGAAATTAAATATGGCCAGTAGCAACAACAACTGCAACAACAACAACTGCGTTTGCCAATTGCCTTAAAATGGCTGCCAACTTCAACACATCTGCCACTAAAAACCGCTAGGACTCTCTGCAGTTCACTTCACCAATTTCACTCGCCGCTTTTTTATCGAGCTAAATAACTTCTCAAATGTATACAATTAAAGATGCAACGCACGCGCCCGTAAGCAATTCGAGTGTCTCCCATGATTTCAATGTTTTCTCAACTGTTTTATTTGATTTTATTTCTATTTTTATTTTGGTTTTTTTTTTTTTTTTGGCAACTTTCTTTTGTGCGCTTCCAAATGCAAATTGACCAAAAATTGAGTGTCTGGCATTCTAACAAGCTGTTTGCTAGACAAGAGTTTTGCACTTTTGCTTTTCGAACACAACCAGACCAGTTTCAATTAAGTGTTAAGTGTATTTATTTTGAACACCCTGTAAGCGTTGCGAATGGGGAAGTTGCAGAACATGGATAATTGAAGTAAGCTGAAAACTCATAATAATAAGTTCATGTACATTTCAGAGTAAGCTGGCTGATTACTGACAAATATACCTTTGCATATACCTTTTTAATCTTATAACAATCGGATAAGTATTCCACGTATACTATTCTCTACTGATTACTGATGACAGAGCATCCTCAAGTTCATCACACCCACCCAGACGGTATCCACTTGTGAAAATCAACGGACAAAGTTGCAGCAGCGGAAGCCGCAGACATTGAACTGTAACACTTTCTATTAAGGTCAACGAAGTAATAATGAAAACCATAGTAGAAGTCTACTTAAAAATGCCATTGAATGGGCGTAGAATGAGGCAAAAGCGTCAAGGGAAAAGCACAAAAACACAACAAGCAACAACAACCTGTGTGCGTTGTGGCCCAACGACATAAAGGCGGCCAAGTGCCAACATGCATGGGTACCAACAAAAAAGCAGACCACAATAAACAACTTGAAGGCGCTGAAAGCAGTCGTCGCACGTTGCCAACTTGCCGCGGCAATGAGCTGAATTCCAAAGCAGCAGCAGAAGCATACGAAGCATCATCAACTAACGGCTCCAAACACTGCGCCAAAAATCGGAGCTTATTAATGTGCTCAGGGGGTCAGCCGAGAAAAAATAGTTTTTTTTCTTTTTATTTAATGGAACGCGTTGATGTCAAAATGTTAACAACGCTTAAATGCAACGGTCGCAACAAAGACAACAGACGCAACAAACTGGTGGCAAGTTGGAATGGTGGGGGGCTGGGTAGTAAAACTTTGACTTGGTCTTTGGATGGTGCTTTCACGCCGCGGCATCGAATTTTTGTCACGACTCCGGCGCACTTAACGTTTATTGGATTATTGTCATTATAACAAGAAGCGCAAAAAAAACAACAACAACGACATAAAAATGAGTCAATTTCTGAAAGCGAAATTTTAATGTCATCGGAAGAGGTGAAACCTTTTTGTGTCGAGGTGCTGCCCCTTTCTTAGAAACATAAGTCAAGGGTCAAGCTTAAATAGCTGCAAAAAAGCAATAAAATTAACAGCTATGCAAGTTTTGTAGAGATCAATAATATTTTGAAGGGGAATTTATGCAGTGCTAAAACAAATTTGCAAACTTGAAACACATAAAAATGTTGTAAATGGAATTACTAATATGGGAAGAAATTGGTTAGAGGTGAAAGAAAGTTCAGATCAAGTCGATCTAGATTTATAGCCTTTTTATCACAGAAAAATAAATATTCTCTTGATTACTACCTTACTACTTAAAAAGGGGGTTAAAGCCCCATTGATCTTTGATCAAGTTTAGTTGATACTTCAGAAAATATTCTTTGCATATTAAAAAAATATCAAAAATGATGAAATAAATGCTTAAGATATTGCCATTTGTAGAGTTACTTCCTAGCTAAGTTTCTTTGGAGCGGTGTATTGTTGCTGTTTTAAATTAAACCCACTTCATTAACTACTTTTTCAAATCATTCAACATATTTGGCCATAAGAGCCGTTAACAGCTCTTACTCAATTTGCATAAGCATTGTTGAACGAGCTTTTACTTTTCGTGTGTCCTTTTTATTGGCATTGTCATGCAATGTATGTGCCCAGTTGCCAAATGTCAAAGTTTAAGCAAATACAAACGACGAGGCATCATTATTACCATTAATCCTTATACGCTTTTGCCCTCTTCCCCTGTAACCATCCGATTAAGCATGGCAATTGCCACGTCTTGTCTGTGCCCAAAGCGTTTTGTCTGTATACATTTCATTGCGAATTTTTCGCGCATTTAATCGGCGACAATCACAAATCTTTTCGGGGGGCATTTCTGTTGTTTTTATTTATGGCCAAAAGCCGTAGACACCCGACACACAAGCGAAAGTCAAATTCTTCTGCGGTTATTTCTTGGTAATTTCTTTGTTTGGCGGCAGTGGCTTCTGCTCAACAGCAAAAAATTGTCGTGATGCCGTTTGCTGAAATTTGATGTCATTGGTGTTTGTTGGGGGTTGGGCATTTGGCAGCGTGCAAAAATCCTGTGTGCCCGGGGAGAAGTTTAGCTGTGCAAAAGTTCATTGATATTTGAAAAGTGAAACTCTTTGAAAGCAGCATCTGCATCCAGGTATGAACTTTTGTGGTATCTGTATGCCATTTGGCTGCCAGCTGTGCAGATGTTGCTGCATGTGGCAAAAGACTTTTATTTTTCAATTAATATTCAATGTAATTGCTGTACTCTTTGAGAGTAATAGACAAAACGAAGAAAGCCAAAACCAATACAAAATGAAACGAAACCAAAAAAAAAAAATTTATATATATACTTTCACACAGCCGCAAATTATTTCGGGCAGCACTTCTGGATGAATTAGCCAAACTGCATGTCAAGTCAAGCAAGTGAAGCTGCAAGCTCCCAGCCAGACAACGAAAGCGAAGCCAGCCTGCCAGCCAGCCAGCCAGCCAGCCAGCCAGCAAACCAATCAAGTGGCAAACAAGCAGCTTGCCACAGCCTCAGTCTCACTCTCAGCTTCTCAGTATCTCGGCTTCTTTCCAGTCAGCAAACTCCTTGAGTGACAGCTGAAATGTGGGTTGGTTTCATGGCCGGACCATCTGATTGGCCTTAAGCGAAAGGCAACGAACCCAAGTGACCTCATTGCACCGTGGATACTGTGATTTTGCATATTTTAGTCTTGATTCATTCAAGATGCACAGCAAATCCTTGTAGGTCGAATATTTCAAAATAATATTTTTAAAAATTCTGTTAATTAATAATAAGTTTTTCTTACTAGCATTTCCGACATGTTTTTTTGTGCTTGATTTGAGTACAAAGTTTTATAGAGATTATATAAGCGTTTGTGCTTAAAAATCTTGCACGATTTTGTGAGTCGATTTCTACGAGTTATATAAAATCGTTGATTGATTTTATTTTATTTTCAACTTCCGCACTTTTCTAATTATTTATTTTAATTTGTTTCCTAAGCATTTTGTATAAATTTGGCTTTCTCTTGCAGACTGCAGACCTATCCGCCCGTTGTCTAATTATTGCTTTTCTACTTGTATTTTACATATTTTTTTTTTTTTGCATATAACTGAAGTATAATCTTACATTTCCGTCCGCAAAACAAAAAAAAAATATTTTCTCACTACATGACTACTTAGCCGTAGATTAGCCGCAAAATAACTGGCCCTGGGCCATCGAGCCAAATTAGCATTAACCCATTTGGCGACATAAAGTCCAAAAAGATTCTCTCAAACATCGAGACAGTTAGGCTTTCGAGACAATAACTTTGTTGACGGACTTTTTTTAATTGCTGATGACCAACAAAACGACCGCTAATTCAACCTGACCCAAAAGTTGATAAACGAAACGGAAAT